ATAGTGAGAAATCGTGAGCTCTCCTTCACTCTCGCAGATAGCTTGAGCGCCTTCCACCTTCTTTAACAGTTTAGTCATCCAGTCAAGGTTGCAATTTTAAAACGACTGCAACGATTGATAAACAAAGTGAAATGCAAACTTTAGACCATCATATCAGGGCTGTTCAATCAGCTAATTATAGCAACTATATTTGTAATCTTGATTAAAGTTTCCGTTTAAATTTAGTTTGTTTAATATTCAATTTTTTTAACTTCTCTTGAAAGGCAAGATTCTTTTTCAGCATTCTCTGGTAAACTTTTGCTTCGCTATCCTCAACACCGAACTAGTCTAGCGAAGAGCAAGGCAAAAATCAGAACATAACGGCCAGAGGATTGTCACGTGGCACGTAAGGGTACGTGAGTTCTTCCTAAGTTAATTACTCAACCTTTGACATGTCATTACTAACATCTGAGAAGATAAAATCTAGCTTAACTTCGGTGTGTTTGATCTAACGAAAAAAGGTAAAGAAAACACCTGCGGTTTGTAACAGTAAATAACAAACTTTTTAGCACTTAGGTTAGGCATGAAGAGTTTTTTACCAAAAAAATTAACGATAATTTAATAAAATTCGTGCCTTGTAAAGATTTTACCCGCTTGGCACTGTGGGACTCAGTTTTACTAGAAGCTTTTACAACAAGACCCCAAGATTATGGGTTGACCGAAACGTGTCATTGTACAATATTTTCAAGGACAACATTTCAAAAACTTAGGTCTGTTTATCTATGCACGGTGTAAACATGTTCTGTGGAAATAAAACAGTGTGCTGACAATGACTTCTTCTCGTTCTTTATCATGTTCTATTGCTTCTGAAAGACAGCCAAGGCTTGCCCTAACTTAGTGGCATACAGCATATGGCAGAAAGTCTTATTATATCCAACAACTAAATTACCTTACCATTAGTCATCTTGTGACTCTAGCGACTGGGACATCCTCATCCCTGCTTATGGCTTGCATTTGACTGGTAGGCCAATCATTATACAGAGCAGTTCAATGTGAACTATTAAATTTGTAACAGTCATGAGGTAAAGCTTATGTTCGGACGTTAATTGGGCACAACTTTCATGGTTTACAACAAATAACGTTCAAACATCCGAAATTGATAGCAGGTCAAATACATCATCGGTGCACGTTTATAATCTACTAAAGAATCCGCTGAACGATATTGGCCAGAAGTTCCGCACTGTTGATCCATTCTCTCCGGTTGCATTATTAACAGGATTTCACAAAAAATGCCATAAACTATGTTCAAAGCAAATTAGCCTCTCAAAACAGGCTTATTTAAAGCAATAAAAAAAATCTGAACGACACACTTCAAAGCCTTTGAAGTAGCTATCAGTAATATCCGTCTCTTTCTTCGTTTTGTAAAGTTCATTAG